CTCATGGCAGTACCTGGAACGAGAAAGCTCCCTGAAATTTTATGCATTTTAAGGCCATAATCCAGTCTATCAAGAGGAGTTTCACCTCTACATGAACGTCTGCTGTTGCAACAGTGCTCAATGGTCCTTAAAATTCAGCAGCGTTTAGATTAAATTTAGATTAAAGATTAGGCTGATACAAAGGGACACTTTCAGTGCCAAAATGCGAAAGCGCAGCTCCTGCCTGAACTCACCCCAGCACCGAGCAAAGGAACAAACACCTGGGGTTAGCCCTGTGTGCACCTACACATTTGGCACACGACATCTGCCTGGAAATCCCCGCTCACTGTTAACACCTCAGCTATTTCTGCAGCAGTCTCAGTTAACAGCTTGACTCCCTCCATGGGCTCCGACAGACAGCCTCTGGCAGTAGTTTCAGACATGACTGTCCTCCTTCTCCTCCTCCCCCCAAGAAATGAATGCCCTGTAGGCAATAAAAGGTGAACTTGTGCCTCAGCTGCTCCACCTGCCACATCCCTGCCAAGCACACCCACCACATCCTCTCTGAGCCTGTACGATGGATGGCACGGAGCCCCACAGCAGAGTTCCTTCAGAAGCCCTGCCTGCCTTTCCTGTGCTCCACACAACTGCTCTAACAGAGCCAGGAGCACGTTCCTGCAGCTTTAGCTCTTCAGGCAGACGATGATCCAGTGAACCAGGGGACATGAATGAAACAGATCCTCAGACTGCCTGGTTCTGATCTAATCTTCTTTACCTTTTCAAACAGACCCTACTGAATCCTCCTACACAACTGCTCCCCTCTGAGTGCCTGTAAAATATCTAATTTTAACCATTTATCAGAACAGAAAAGTCACGAAGAAAACAGCCTCAGCAACTTCAATACTTAAGGAATTGGTGCCTGAACACCTACAAGTTCCCCTCCCTGGCTAAGCCTGAGTCTCCTCAGCACCAAGCCCAGCAGAAAGGGTGCAAGTTACCTGAGAACCTGAGACACCTCCGCTGTTGTCTGCGGCTTCAACACCAGCTGGCTGCAGCCTGCAATGAAAGCAAGGGACTCTCAAGGCAAGCTGTGGCTCTGCAGGGGTCAGAAAGAAACAGGTGGGAAAGCATGAGGAGGGAAATAACAGTGTTCCCTCCACTTTGAGGCATTTTAAGCACTTTTACAACAAGCATTTCAATAGCAGCCATTCCCTCAAAGCCCTGTGAAAACTTAGCATGGATAGGTAGACTTGGTTGCCAGTGGGGGCAATGGGAAAAGGTTTCAATTCTCATGAAATCTTTGACAGAAACAACAGAAAATTCACAATGTTTGATTTAGAATCACAGAATCCCAGGGTGGTTTGGGTAGGAAGGGACCTTAAAGCTCATCCCGTTACACCCCCTGCCATGGGCAGTGACACCTTCGACTAGCCCAGGTTGCTCCAAGCCCCATCCAACCTGTCCTTGGACACTTCCAGGGATGGGGCAGCCACAGCTTCTCTGGGCAACCTGTGCCAGGGCCTCACCACCCTCCCAGGGAAGAATTTATTTCCAATATCCCATCCAAGTCTGCCCTGTGGTTCTCTTGTCCTGTCACTCCAGGTCCATATAGAAAGTCCCTCTTCCTCCTTTTTATAAGCCCCTTTCAGGTACTAGAAAACTGCAATCAAGTCTCCCCAAGGCTTCCAGATTCTTCTCTGAGTCAAAATTGCTAATTGCTTCAGGAAAAAAAAATAGCAAGTTACAGAGTTTTTGGTTTTGGTGGGGTTTTTTTTTGTTTGTTTGTGGTTTTTTTTTTTAAATGAAAGTCTGAAAGTTTACAAGATATCAGGTAACTCTTACAGGGGTGCTTTTTATGAGACACTCATATTGGAGAGGTAGCACAGATCCCTGTAAAGGTACAGGAGGTTAGATCAGAACCTGCTCTCTGTGACCAGTGACAGGACCCAAGGGAACAGCTGGAGCTGTGTCAGCAGTGGTTTGGGTTGGGTATTAGGGAAAGGCTCTTCACCCCAGAGGGTGCTTGGGCACTGAACAAGCTCCCCATGGCAGTGATCATGGCTCCAAGGATGCCAGAGCTCAATTCGGACAATGCTCTTAGGGACAGGGTGGCATTGTTGGGGTGTCTGTGCAGGGCCAGGAGTTAGACTGGATGTCCCTCCCAGCTCAGGAGGTATTATATCCCTTACCCTTTATCAATCCCTCTAAATTCTGTTAGCATGTTTAGTCTTTTCAAGGTAGAATTGTAGAGAGCCCCCCCCGTTTGAGAACATCTCACCCTAGGCGTGGACCAGGAGATACCGTGCAGACAAAGCAACCTTCCAGCCCAGAACTTTGGAGGAACTCCAAGGACTGTCATATGCTTTGAAGAAGATGAAGATGAGAGGGAAGGGGTCCCAAACGCCCCCAGGCCCAATTCCCGAAGGGGTGTGTCGGGGGGCAGAACCAGGGGTGGATATATCTGGGATTGGATGGACCTTATTATAAAATCACAGAACCACTGCCTGGGCCTGGTGTGTGTTCCCCTAGGCCTACGGCCTCGTTAAAGGACCTGCTCTCTTTATATACTAAATTTATAAATTTATACACTAAATTGGCCTGGAGTCTTTTTCTCCGCCGTCTTTTTAGGCAACCTAGTGACGCTATAACAGGACTCTGGAGGCTGTGCCGAAGTGTTGCTCCCGGCTCGGGGAATCGCTGCCTGCTGGGAAGGACGTTCCTCGCTCTGCGCAGACGCGATGGCCATAAATAAAAGCGAGATTTCCTTTTGCCAAACTTTTCGTACCGGGACGGGGGGGCTGAAAGAAGAGACGAGGCTTTACAAACCGAGCACACCAAACCGGCTTCCCTTACCTCGCACCGACTTCAGCCAGTCCACGTTAAAGGGCTTCACCTCCTCCTCGCCGGTGACCACCCTGCCGGGCATCATCCTCTCGAAGAACGCCACATCGCTGTCCCCCAGCCGGGCGAAGGGCAGCCTCCGCACCGCGTAGCGCTCGCTCGTCGCCACCACCTCTGCCGAGCCCCTGGCCGGCGGGTCCCCCCGGGGCCGCAGGACCCTCCCGCGGCAGCCCCTCAGCAGAGCCCACACGGCCGGCGAAGCCATGACCTCCCGCCCGCTTCGCCGTGAGGGGACGCGGCGGTGTTGGGGGGGGGGGGGGGGAAGGAGAGCACCCCCGGTTTAGAGCCTCAGCGAGTCTCTTCCGCTGCGACAGCGCAGCGCCACGCACCCCTCGGGGATAAATTAACCCGGATCGGATCGGGCGGGGAGGCCCGCGATTATCCCGATAATCGGGAGAAGACAAGGATTTTCCGTGGATTGGAAGCGCGGCGCGCCGGACCTCCAAGCCGCCAGGGGGCGCTGCCGCCCGCCCGCGCTGAGCGCCAGGTCGCTCAGCGCGGGCGGGCGGTAGCGCCCCCCAGCGGCCGGAGGTTGTAACAGCACCATTCCCCTTGGATTCCTCACACCTTTTATTCCCAAAAATACTTTATTTTATAATATAATCCATCATCTCCAAGATCCAAAAATACAGATATACATTTGTTTTTAAAGTTTACATTCCTTATTTCTTTTTTCTCGTTTACAAAAAAAAAAAAAGCTTCATGTTGTTGGTTTTGGTTTGTGGTTTGTTTTTTTGGTTTTTTTTTTTTTTTCGGTTGTGGGTGTTAATTCTGTTATAAAAGTAGGATTTTGGGGTTGAAGTTTCGGCCTCCGCGGTTTGGGTGAGCTGTGGTAAAGCTGGGGCCCCCGGGGTGGGCAATCTTTAGCGGGACGTTCCCTTCAGGGGTCACCCTTCCTCCAAGAAACATTTAATGCTGTACATTCAAGAGTCAGATTTAAATCCTTTAGTAAGCAAAAGCGAAGGCTACTGGTATTTCTGTCTACAAAGGGTTGTTAAAAAAAGTCTCAACAACCAGGTGTAAAGAGGGCAGGAGATGCTCCTGAGCCCATCCAAGCCCTGCACTGTGTGCTCCCGGTGGGAGAATTTATTGCTGGTATCAGAACTCAGATGCTTTACACATCAGAGACGTTGCAAAGAAGAGGAGAATGTTGTACCTCGCATCACTCCTAGCCAATCATCCTTCCTTTCCAGGGCTCTACCTTCTAGAGCTTGTTTTCCTTTTTTTTTTTGCATTGCTGGTTAAAGTGGAAAACGCTCTTCCAAGCCCCCAAAGCTACTTTCTAAAAGTGTGTTTTGGTGCCCTACCTGACCACAAATTTTGGAGCTGAGGGAGGTCAGCTCCACGCTGGCTCACCCAGAGCTGCTGTCTTCCCTCAGGGCATGCTTCCAGCAAGACCTCCAGAGTGGAATTTTGAGACTGTTTCAAATCAAATGCTATGGTGATGCCACTACCAACAAAGCCTTAGGAAAAAAAAGCTAAAAAAAGCTCTGGATAAATACCATTGGATGGAACGGGAAAATAAAACCTGAAACACCATCAACACAGGTCATCAGGACACAGCAACGCTCTGGCTGAATCCAATGCAGCAGCTGCAGCTTCCACCCACTGGTGACTGGATTACAGGCTGGCTCATAAGATATCACAGATTTGCCCTCGTAAAGAGGCAGAAAGAAAACAAGGGCTGGCTGTACCTCCAAGTTCAGGTTTGTGTGACTGTGCTGCCCCTCCTCCTTCCCTCCAGCACTCAGTTTTTAATTCCTCTGCCTGCTTTCCAGGTGCTGTTCCATGGCAGCAATGACAAATGTGCATCACCTCATAAACAGGACTAGGAAAGCTTCATCTCTCCGTGATGTAACCTGGGGAAGCCACGTGCAACATCACACTTATTTTAAATCACAGGACCCTAGAGACAGGCATTTTTTTTCCTCAGAGGAGACACAGTAAAACCAAATGTTCACAGAAAAGCTGTCTCAGGATTGAGAGTTTTCCTCTATGTCAGCAGCAGGCTCAAAGCCTCACAGAGGAGAGGAGGAGTGGCAGGGACTGTGTTCTACTTTTCTTCATTGCAAAACATAGTTAAGAGGCTCAGTAAAACAGGAAAAGCCTTTTTTCTTTTGAAAACAGGTGCCAGAATCTGAGAAGTGTTTTTAATCTCCTATACTGCTTATTCAGCAGAAGAAAAGCTTATCTGGAAGGTTTCTTCATGCCTTTGCAGCAGTCTCCAAGATCTCCTGCACACTGTTAAGGAAAGCAGCTCACAGCCCTGCCCAGAGCTGCTACCAACACCCCTCAGGGACTGTGGCCAGCAAACTTCGGGAGCTGAGGGGCTTTTCTTTCCCCCTCCACCAGCAGAACAATCCTTCCTCACTACATCTTTCATTGTAGGCAGGTAAACCTCATGATGCAGGAGACAGATATAAAGACAAGACCTATCTCTGGTCCTCCCTCAACTTCTGCATCCACTGTAACTCAGAGGAAGAAAGAAAACAAAGACTTTTGCTTTCCCACTCCTGATTTCCTCTCTCCCTTCTGCTGTAGCCACTGACACTGCGTCAACAAAAGGAATCACATTCATCATCTGAAAGGCAGCTTAAAGAAGTCAAGAACATGCAAATGTGGCCCAATAAAAAACTAGAACATTCCTGAGTGCTCTTCTCCAATAGCAGAGCCACACCATCATGGGAACACACACAGTGTCCTCGTGGAGCCTCTCCCTAAAACCTGATTTCCTGATTTACCCACACAGGCAATCACAGCTGACAATTTAGGCCTTCATCTTATTTTGTGAATAAATCCAACCTTCTCTCTCTCTCTCTCCAAGAATACTGTAGGTTTCATCTTCACAGTGAGGTACTTAAAGGATCTTCAGGGAAATGGAAACAGCCAGGAAAGGCAACACCCTCTCTAAATACTACTGTGCAAGAGTAACATAAATAAAATCTCTGTGGCAAAGGGATTTGGGACTCCCTCCCAAAGTAATTTTCTTATGAAAGAACAGGAATTACAACTGGCCACTGGATAATTAAATACCATACCAGAAAAAAGATGGAGGGCAGATTAACAAAAAATAATCATATTGCAACGTGAATGAAGGAATATATTAAATTCTTCTTGCCTCGGCAGTGCTTTCCCCTCTACTCTTTACTTCTTTTTCTTTCTTTCCTGAACACAACGAGGGCAGAACCTGCAGGGAAAGAGACAATAATCAGCTCCTGAAATCAACAGCACAGAGCTCAAGAACTGCTTTTATTACTTGTGAACACTTAAGACTGTTTCTGACAGGCACACTGTCACTTAAATTAAAGCAGTCCATTAGATAAAACTAAGTACAAAACAGGTCCACGATTCTTCCCAAGAAGATCACATACTTAATTAAAACCCTGAGAAGTCTTCAAAATCTGCCTCCAGAAGTGAAAAAAAATAAAAAAATAAAAAAAATGTCTCTCAATTTTAAGCAGAGCCACAACTAGTGACAATACAGCAAACCTCAGCTGTAACCTGTACACATTACACAAACTTCAGGTCAAAATCTGCTCTGTTTGACAGGCAGTTTTGCTCCCACCAGAACCCAACACTCCCCTGGAAATGGATTTTACTAAGAAGGTTCCCCTTCTACCTTCTACTCTCAAACACAATTCCCAATCACAGAGGATGCAAATCCTCTGACAAGAACAGCAAAGCTCCTCTGTCAGGAAGGGTCACAATGGGGTTTTAATTCTCGTTGCCATTTTAATTCTTGCTGGGGCAAACTGCAGCCTGATGAAAAGTCCCAAAGCTGTGTGCTGTCACACTCACCATTTCCCTTTTGGTTTGGTGGTCAGGTCCACACAGGCAAAGTGGAACCACTCGATGGGGCACTGCAAAACAGAAAGGAAAAACCCAGATTGATGCTTAGTGATTCACAAACATTCCTGTCATTTGGTATGATCTAACAGAGCAAGGACCCCCCTCCTCAGACTGCACAGGGTTGGGATACTGCAAACATCCAAAAATAAACCTTATCTCCAGTGCTTACATCTGGGTTGTCACAGCCAATCATCTCCCCATAGGACACCTGGTGACACAGGCAGTACGTGGGTTCGTTGGGATCCACTGGCATGTCCAGGACATCCGAGGGATGCACTGACAGGATGGTATCAGCGAACTCAGACCTGTGGGTAAGGAAAGGGTGAGGACAAAACATTCCCAGCTGCAGGAAACACCATCTTACAAGGGCCTGGAGTGACAGGACAAGAGGGAATGGTTTCCCACTGCCGGAGGGCAGGGTTAGATGGGATTTGGGGAAGAAATTCTTCCTTCTGAGCGTGATAGGGCCCTGGACCAGATTGCCCAGAGAAGCTGTGGCTGCCCCATCCCTGGAAGTGTCCAAGGACAGGCTGGACGGGGCTTGGAGCAACCTGGGCTAGTGGAAGGTGTCCCTGCCCATGGTAGGGGGTTGGAACAAGATCGTCTTTAAGGACCCGCAACCCAAACCATTCTGGGGTTCAAAGATCTAAGTCCCACTCAGGAAAACTAGTATTTTACAATTATCTTCCCTAAAACACACTGACCCTACTTTAAAGTTTGGATTACATCACCACATATTATCCAATTATTAAAATCATAAGGTAGGTTTGATCAAACACAGTATGACTATAAAGGATTAAGAGAATGACTCTGTGATGCCGTGACTAAAGTAACAAAATTATTATACAGATCCCTCCTTCTTGTGGGCAGAATAACCTGTTTGGGTTTTTTTCCCCAATTTGTTTTAATACACATTTTTTTCTCATTGTATGAGTGAACCCTCTTGCTCTGACAGGAATGTGTTGACATGTCAGAAGCACTCCACAGAAACTATTTTTAGTTTTCTGCCCCACCATTTTACCAACTGAAAATATCAGAATAAACAAAGCCCCTTTCATATAAATCACACCACAGAGAGGGGATATGCCTTCCTCCTTGCTTCCCAAAACTCAATCAGACTATTTAAGGTTATTTAGGACATGATTTTTTGAAAACAACCCCCAAAATTCTCCAAGATTTCTAGAATGTTGTATTGACAACATCACTTTCTGTCCTGATGGACAAGTGTTTCTTTTTACCACCCAGACAAGCCACTGTTAAAAATAGCTGTGTGACAAAAATCAAAGCTATTTTCTTCCAGCTTGCCAACAGCAACAGAGAGGCTGATCTTGTCCGTCCAGTCAAAGTGTTCCAAGCATGCTGAGCTTCCACATGCCAACCAAGGAGTTAATTAACAAAGCTGGCTTGTCCCAAGCAGGACAGTAATGAAATGGAGTAAGACCAGAACACTCTAACCATCCGGACACGAGTCATAAATAGGGTAACACGAGCTCATGGAAAATTCATGAAGTGTCAAGACCAAGTTGCCAGAGCTGTGCCTTGCTCTGCCTTACCCTCCTTTGAGCTTCTTTTTCTTTGGTGTATCTTCTTCAGATGTTCTCCTGCCTCGGCCACGAGAGCTTCTTTTGTCTTTCTGGCTTCGTCCCTCTAGAAAGGAAAATACAACCCCATCTTTTCAGCCTCTTTGAGTGGCAGAAACATCCCCAGGTGTTGTTCTTTTGATGCACTTATTGTCTTGAATTCCTTATTTCATCTGTAATTGAACAATCCTTATTTCATCTGTAATTGAATAGGCTGACTCTGAAATTCATTTCTGTGCCACAAATAAACCAAATTAGCAAGTACAACTGAGCCCCAAACTCTTTTGGCAGTTAAAGCACTGCAGTGTGTTAGCATAAGACATAAACAGCATCACATTTGATTAGACTGGCAGTATTTTTTTTAAATCTCAGGGCATTTTTGAACAGTCAATAGGTTACTCAATAACTAAAGTAACTTTTATCTCCACCTCCCTGCTCTTACCCCTTATTTCATAGTTGAGAGGCATAAAGCTGTGCTGTGCTGCTGTTATCCATGCTCAGATGTCAGTGTAATCACACAAGATTTCAGTCTACACTACAAAAACTGGTATCTTCCTTTTACTCCTGATTTTTCCTGCTTTTTTTCAGCTTGATTAGTATTCAAGTTCTGGTAGAAGGAGAAAAATACACAAATCTCCCTTCAAAAAGAGCTTAGAACTTACTTAGTAACAGATCAAGCCTGAAACTCACACTGTTACACACATCAGTGCAGGACTGGCAGTCAGCTGCCCCTTGGCCATCTCCCTCCTTACAACCTCAGGATGATCTGTGAAACAGCAAGTTTGATCCCAGCACTACATTTCTCCTCATCTATTGCCCAGTGTAAACTTTAAGAGCATTAAAGGCAAGCAGAGATACTATGCTGCACTTCTTTCCCTCCTCCAGAAATAAGAGCCTATTTTACATCTCAGCCTTCCTGCAGTGCTGGAAAAGGCTCCCAATTGCATAAATAAAAATTCACCCACTTTTCAGGCTCCGAGATCCGGGGGGTTCGAAGTCGCTGCCTTCCAGTTTGTCTTTGAGATCGGCCTCAAACCGCGCCAGGTCCGCGTCCAGCCGGCGGATGTGCTTATCCACCTGCACCCAGAGGAAACCACAAACTCAGCTACAAAGAAAAACACCAAAAAGAGCCCCACACGAAAACAGGAAGGGCTAAAACTTGGCTGTTACCGGCACCAAAAGAGCGTGGGAGCACAGGACAAGGCGGGAAAGGGGTACCGGCTGGGAAAAGGGAAACAGCACACGCGGAGCGGACAAAGGCGGAGAAAAAGGAGGCAAAATGCAGGAGGACCCAATCCCTCCAGGGCAAAGAGAAAGGGAGGTGACAAAAAGGAGAGTTAATGGAACTCAGGCTAATCGTTTGCAGAACAAAACATGATGAGAGATACTAAAAATAACTTGTTTGTCCCTACAGTTTTCAAACTTCAAATATTGCCCTTGAAATGCACCGAGTTCATTTTTTTCTCCTGGTACTACATTGTCATGCTAACTAAAGGAATGTAGTAATAAACACAAGCAGAAGCTGACTATCCCCAATATCAAATCAATGCACATTAACTAAAGTACCTTGTACTATCCTGGCTGCAACAACGTGACTTACACAACAGGGATGTAGAAAAGGTATTTTAAACCACCACCCCCAAATTGTGCCACTGCAACACTTTGTCATCAAGTTGCTTGGCCAGTTATCTAGGATGCTGATATTCCTGTGACAACTTCCTTCTCTGCAGTGTTTGATGGCAAGAAAACATCTGTAGATGCAGCACAACCCAAAGCATCTCCACAGGCTGGACAATCCACACTTGGTACAGTCAGGATTCCCCTCACTCAATTTTCATCCAGGGGGTAAAAATCACAGAGGTAAGAATTATCAAGGGGCAGCTGCAAGGACACAGGAATAAGAGCAGAACAATAGAAAAGTGGAAAGTTGCATCTTAAGAAACAAGGTTTTCCCACAAGGTTCATCGAGGAAATTTCAATGTCCAATAAACCAAGGCAGTGGAGCAGATTTCCTTCATTCCTCCACAATAAAGTACTGCAGTTGACTTAAGAAACCTTGCTTGCAACTGAGATCAGCCCCAAGTAAATTATCAGGTGACAGAGGAGCTGCTGCGGAGGAGGGAGTGGGGAAAATTCTCTGGCATTATCACACAGCAGACAGGTACTACTGACAGAGCAACCTCCAAGAGAGAGAAACTCATTAATTCTTCAGCACAAGAGAAGCTTTCTTGGCACAAGCCCCAGTGACACAGGAGGAGGCTTTTTGGGGATGGCAGCAACGAGGAAAGTAAGCTTGAGAACCAATCATTTGTTTCAGTAAGGTTTTTAAGCAACAAAACAGATACGTTGGGGGAAGCTGACGCTGTGGAAGTGCCTCCACGTGCACCACTCCAGAGTGTGCCCGTTTTTCCAGAGCCTCACCATCTCGTAGGTCTGCATGGCCAGCTGCACTTTGTCATCACTGTACTCCTTGCACTTGCTGTAGGCACTCTGGATCTTCTTCAGGTGCTCCACTCGCTCCTCAGGCAACATGTTCTTCACTGATTCGATGTACTCTGCTGCCAGGCTGTCGATCTCTGCTTTCTTATCTGAAAGGCAAACAGGAGAGCTGTCTTCCAAAGCAGGTGTTTTTGCTCTTCTACTTCTTTATGGTATTTAGGAGACCCTTCCTGAGTTTTAGACTCCCCCTCCATTACTTAATGTATTTTCCTTTTTAAGAACAATAAGAAAAACTAAGTTAAAGGTATTCGCTCTTCAACACTTGTGGTGTGATTCTGTTTTTTTGTGCAGCTAATTCAAGGGTTAATTCACAGTTAAGATCAGAAACTGGACCCACGGGTTCACAAGCTTCACCCTCTCTTCCCACACGCAGAACATTCTGTTTGCTGCGCAGTTACTTACTGTTCAAACGGTTCAAACTGGAAGTCTTCACTATGCAGCCAAATATGAACAAAAAACTTCTAAAAGATAAATGGGAAGAGTCCTGCCAGGCACAAAATAACCCAGGACTTGGTAGATATGGAAATGTGTGCAAGGAAGGCTCTCCAAGGGGTCATCAGGTACAGTGATCACACAGCTACGAAGTAAAACTCCAGGGTTGAACACAAAACCAAGCCCTGGGAGCTGCAGCCCTCACAGAGAAGAAACACACACTGCAAAGCCCTTGGGACAAGAAAAGGAAAAGTAATAAGGGGAGACACATCCTCTAAAGTCCAGTCTCCCCTGGGCTCTCCCCATCCTTCAGGTGAGGCTCTCTGTGCATTCACTTGCCAAAATACCTGAACACACCTTCTGTTCTCTGGTCCAGCTCCCGCATCAGCTGGAAGTTTCTCTGTAGCTCGCACGGCAGGTTTTCAATACCTGCAAGTAAAAACACCAATAAATCCTCGGATCGACCTAGTCTAGTGCAAGGTGTCCCTACCCGTGGCAGGAGGTTGGAACGGGAGGTGCTTTAAGGTCCCTCCCAACCCAAACCATTCTGCAAGTTACGCACCGTGAGCGGGTTGTTCGCCTCAGCGGAGCTTGTGCACCAGCCCACGGGCCTTCGCAGGCCGGCACCGGCCCGGCACCAGCGGCCTGCGACCCCCTGCCCGCCGTGTGTGTGTGTGGAAGGGCGAGCGGAGCCCTGCCCGCTGTGTGAGTGGGGGGGGTGTGTATGGGGGGTGTGAGCGAAGCCCTGACTGTTGTGTGTGTGTGAGAGGGGTGTGAGCGGAGCCCTGCCCGCTGTGTGTGGGTGTGTGAGGGAAGCGGGTTCCCCGCCCGGCGAACCCCCACGGCCGCCATCCCCTCACGGCACCGCTCTCCGACGCGCGTCGATGACGCACCCGCCGCGGCGCCGGCTGATGACGCCTGGCGGCGGCCCCGCCCCCCTCCGCGCCACCCGTGGCGCAGTTCTAATTCCCGCGCTGCCGCCACCCCCGCCCCAACTCCACCCGCGCCGCCCCCGCCCTGGCCCCTGCCCCGGCCCCGCCGTCGTCCCCCCCAGCCCCGCCGCCCGCGCCCCGCGCTCACTGTCCAGGTAGTGCTCCAGGTACATGGCGGTCGCCATCTTGCGGCCTGCGCGCCGCTCCCCGCCGCGCGCCGGCCCCGCATGACCAGGCCCGCGGCCTCATCCCGTATGCGCGGCCCGCCCGCCGCCCATTGGCCGCCCGCGCCGCGCCTCATGCATATTCATGAGGGGGCGGTCGCGGCCGCGGATTGGCCGGCGCGGGGCGGCGGGGGGCGTGGCGGCGCGGCGCGCGCGCGGCGATGGCGGCGCGGCGCGGGGCTCTCATCGCGCTGGAGGGCGTGGACAGGGCCGGGAAGAGCACGCAGGGACGGCGCCTCGTGCAGGGGCTGCGGGCTGAGGGGCACAGGGCAGACCTCATCCGCTTCCCGGGTACGGGGGCACGGGGCCCGGGGGGCACAGGGCCCGAGCTCAGCGGGCACGGCGGGGCCGGGGGGCACAGGGCCCGCCTCATCCGCTTCCCGGATACGGCGGGGTGGGGGTCCGGGGGGGACACCGGGCGCTCGGTGTTAACACTGGCACTGGGGGGTGGTGGCAGGGGGCTCTGGTGGCAGATAGACCCTCCTCCCTCCCACGCCGGATGGACCGACCGCCACCCCCCACCCGTGAGAGATGGACCCTCACACTCAGGTAGATCGACTGACCGCCTTCCAGTCTGGGACACGCAAATGTTCCCATCCCCGGACGGGCTGACCACCCTCTGCTCACGACAGATGGACCCCCCTCCCCCCCCCGCCGTGCTCGGGCAGACCGACCCTCACCTTCTGTCTGGGACAGGCAGATCCTCCTATCCCTGCTTGGACTGAGCTCTTCCCACCCGTGGCAGATTGACCTCCTCCCAGTCTGTGACAGGCAGGTAGATCCCCATCGCCATATGGACTGGTCTCTGACCCGTGACCAACAAACACCCCCCACCCCAGACAGACCAACCTCCCCCAACCCGTGACAGACCCCCACCCTGGATGGACCGACCTCTTCCCAGCTGTTACAGACTTCCAGGACAGATGGACACCCCTCTGGGAAGAGAAGCTCAGGGCAGCCTTTGCTCCTTCTCCCCCTCTTTCCCACAGACAGAACGACGGAGATTGGGCAGCTGATCAGCTCCTACCTGGTGAGGGAGAAGGACCTGGAGGACCACACTATTCACCTGCTCTTTTCTGCCAACCGCTGGGAACACGTGTAAGGGGGAAGTTTGTTCAGTTGTAAAAGGAAGATGGGTGGTGTTGAATCCCCCCGGGGTTTGAGCTTGCAGGGGGTACAGAAAGTACAGGACTGGGATCCTGTTCAGCCAGGGAAACAGGCTAGAAGTGATGTCTCAAGGACTCTTCCAGCTTTGGATTTAATCATAGAATCCCAGAATGGCTTAGGTTGGAAGAGACCTTAAATCCCATCCAGTTCCATCCCCTGCCAAGGGCAGGGACACCTTCCACTATCCCAGATTGCTCCAAGTCCTGTCCAACCTGGCCTTGGACACTTGCAGGGATGGAGCAGCCATGGCTGCTCTGGGCAACCTGTGCCAGAGCTGCACTTTTCTCACAGGGAAGAATTTCTACTCCCTGTGCTATCTAACCCTGGCCTTGTAATCTTAGATCCGGTCCTACAGTGTGTTTTTTTTGGAATCATTGCTGCCATATTTCCAGCCCCTGTGCCATACTGGATTAAAAAACTGGGGAGCTGAGACTGAACTGGCCTAGACTGTGAATTGACTCTTTTCCCTGAAGAGGCCTTGCTTTGCCAGGCAGTCCCTGTGAGTGACAGTGGTTAAGGAATTGCCTCCAAATTTCCCCTCAAGCCAAAGGCTGTGTTCGGCCAGGACTGGCTGTCCTTGCTTTAGCCCCCAAGGTTTCGTGTTTGGAAGTGGGGAAATGGGTGTTGGCTGTTGTTTTCACCTGGAAACCTGTATTTGCAAAACGTTCTCAATTTTACAGAAAAGCTTTTGTGCCAAGAAAACTGTGAGAGAGTAAGGCAGATGAGTGAGCTCTAATAATAACTGTTATAGTGAATAAAGGGGGCAGAGCATATCACAAATCTACTGCACCACCTAAAGAGGGTCATTCATGTCTACACTTCAGTTGTATCTTGCCTGTAAGCCCTGTAGCTGCCTAGAGCAGTGCCTAGCCCTTGGCACGCTGAATTTGGGTGTCCTGAGAGGATATTTGGTTAATGCCTGTCAGAGAGTACAAACAGTTCTTTGTCCACATCACAGCTGACCCTGCCAGTGATCTCTGTTAATACTGACATACTTGGTTTTTTCAGATGAACGCCTTTCATTTCTGTCACTACAAAGGAGTGTAACTAACTTCATTATTTTATTTCCCCTGTGATTTCAGGCCGCTGATGAAAGAGAAGCTACACCAGGGGATCACGATCGTGGTTGACAGATATGCCTTCTCTGGAGTGGCCTTCACGAGTGCCAAAGGGGTGAGTGAGTCCTGCAGCAGCCCCTGCCCCTCTCTCTTTGGGGGAGCAGCTCCAGGTAGATGCCATTGGTGTGAGTGGCCCAGTGGCCATTGTTCTTCTGGGAAATGAGGATTGCAAATGAGGGCTGGAAGTTTCAGCTCAGGTGTTCACATGGTGTGTTTGCCCAGGTCTGCCCTCCCTTAGAACAGAGAAACTCACTTTCTGTAAACCTGGACAGACTACTGGAAGCTGACCTGTTTGACTCTGGAGAATGATTCTGGGAGTTTATTTAAGACTCTTCGTGCTTGCTCTGGCTGCTAGCCCATAAATTTGCAAAGAATAACAGAACCACATATGTTGGAAAGCACTTGTGGAAGTCATGAAGCCCAGCCTCCAGCAGGGCTTACTTGGGCCCACATCCAGCCAAGGTTTGAGTCTCTCCAGGGATGTAGATCCACTCCTTTCTGGGCTCCTCTTTGCTCACCTTCAGAGTAAAACTGACTTTCTTCATTTAGCCTGAAGTTCTCACAGTCCCACTTGTAGGGGTGCATAATGTCATGGTTTAGCTGGTTCTTGGAAACTAGGCAGGAATTTTTTTCCCTTCCCTCTGCCCACTGCGTGCAGGTATCTTGAGTGAGCACTTAAGAGACACAAAAGAACTGGCTCTCTGGTTGATTGCTCAGAAATTAGTCTCCTAGGAAACGGGGGAGATGAGGGGCTCCTCTTTACTTTTTTCTCTCATCTCACTTGTGCCTTTTGGCCTGTCCCTGCTTTCAGGGCATTAAAAGCTTTAGCTCTGTCCAACTTAAGTGAGCACAAGGGGTGCACAGCTAAATCTGCTCCCCCCCAAATTACCAGGATTGAATTCCCACATGGTAAGCTGGGATATTGTCACTTCTTGTGTTTCTTTCACCTCAAACTTGGTTGTCTTTGCTTGGGACAGAACTTCTGCCTGGACTGGTGCAAACAGCCTGACGTGGGCCTTCCAAAGCCAGACCTGATCCTGTTTCTTCAGTTAAGCCCAGAAGAAGCAGCAGAACGAGGGAACTATGGACATGAACGTTATGAGTCCAGCTCCTTCCAAGAGAAAGTTCTGCAGTCTTTCTATTGTCTGATGGAAGACAAGACCCTAAACTGGAAGGTAAGGAAATAACCCTAATGGGCCGGTTATGGACCGGGGTGGGTATCTCTCATCAGAGCTCCCAAATTGTGCCCATCATATCCCTGTGCTCCTCCTTCCTGCTCCTGGTCAGGGGGACACGATGGGGACCAACCAAGGGCACTGTGGGCAGTGGCAGAGGGCATTTCCCTGTTGCAGGACATCCTGGTCAGCTCTTAGAGCACCTCGGATGAATCCCAGCTTACCTGCCTTTCTGTATCTAACACACTCCAAAGAGTGTCAGCAAACAACATGCAACAGCAGTTTCTTCTGTTTCCCTTCATCCAGCCCTACATGTACTTAAATGTCTATTCCTAAATATATTTTTCCCAGTTCCACTCCAGAAACAGTGCACAGGAGGTATAATTAGCTCATTTCACCTCTCAGGAACAGTAACAGTATTGAGTAATGAGGGGGAGCAGATTTTAACAGCAACTCATTTGCTGGTGTCCAGTAACATGTTTCTGTATCTGTCTTGTTTTGTGTTGTTGTTTGTTTTGTTTTTGTTTTTTTTTCTTTTGGAAACAGACAGTGGATGCTTCACAGAGCATAGAAGACTTGCACAGAGAAATCAAGTCCATTGCAGAGAAAACCATGGAGGAGGTTCAGAATAAACCTTTGGGAGAACTCTGGAAATAAAACTTGATACAGGTCAGGTCTAAAGCAGTAGGGGAAAGCTCACCTCACGGATGGCTCCCTTACATATCCAGTAGCTACAGCTCAGATCCTGAGTATTCTGGGTCCAACATGATGCTGATGTCCTTGTTATTTCACCTGCTCCTCCCCCTCCATAGTCCCTTCCACATAAGCATGAATGAAATTCTTGGTATAAACCTCCCTATCCCCAACAGGAGCTCTTGTTGCAGCTTCAGTCTTGGGGTGCAGATGTGGGTGTGGAGCCCAGGGCCACCCCTGGCCACGGACAGTTCCCAGTTTCAGGGAACTGCCGTGTTTCTGATTATTCTGCCTCTGTAGTAAATGCATCCCCCATTCTCAAACCAGTTTGTAGAGCACTTGTTAATAAATCATTATTTTTAAACATTTGGCACAGGGCATTTTTTTTCCCCAGTAGTATTGTTTATCTTCTAGAAGGACATGTGTGAGGTGAAAGTGCTGCAGGTCAGGCACTAAATCCAAGGAAAGCTGTTTGCTGGAGCTGTGGAATGAAGGGAGAAGTGAATTCAGGCCTCCTTCGCAGATGTGCACTGAGAATAGGACAGAAAACTGCTGGGAGCAGGTTAAGAGCCTGAAATATATGGATTAGTTCACAGCAAGGCCAGTTTGGAGGGTGAGTAGCATATACGCTATTTTAGACTGGCTGAGGGGAATGCATCTGTGGTTCCTACACACCCCCCAGTGCAATTTTTAAACGGCCCACAAGGGTTGCCAAACCGGACCAGCTATGAATCACCTAAGCCAGCAGTAACAACCAGCAAACCACAACAAACTGGAAGGTAAAATCATTTGCAAGGGGCACTGAGAGATGTGGATGCCCAGGAGAGTTCATGTCTCTGCTGGACAGTTCACTCACCTTCTAGCAGGGTGGATTGCACTAGTCTTCTGCTCTCTT